GGTACAATGTGTGAAGCCCATTTCTGGTGTCCCCCGCCGTGATGTTACTGGAATATTGCTAAAAGCGGCGTAAAAACCATACTCACTCACTCACTCTCTCTTGTCTACATCTATCTTCATGCAACATCGTTTAAAGGACACGGCAAGGGAACTTTACAAAATTGTAACAAAACATCTCACCCTCGTATATTTAAAATTTCAAACTAAAGTTTAAAGCAGTCGTCCTACTCAGCCAGGCAGACACCTAAAGCGGGATCTGGTATTCCTGCCGAGTTATTCCAGATTGCTGAATCATACTGAGAAATCTGCAGGCTTACTCGGAACTGGCCAGACCCCTTGCAGATTATCTCTATGTATATAGTTTATAATAAATGATTCCTGAATTTCGTTTTAACAAGTTTCCTGTAACTATATTACAGCTTCCCATGTACATTTCAACATATATTTTTTTCTTAGCCTGTTTTTTTTCGGGTTAATAGCTCTAAGGAGATAATGTCATACCGCTAGCTGCTATAACCCACGTTAGTGAGTGAGTTTAGTTTTATGCCGCTTTTCGCAATATTCCAGCAATACAACGGCGGGGGACACCATAAATGGGTTTCACACACTGTACATCATGTGGGGGATTCGAACCCATGTGTTCGGCGTGACGAGCGAATGCATTAACCACTACGCTACCCAACCGCCCTGACCGACGCTAAACGACGAGCTAAAGAATCAACACCTCTCAGTTGATTTAATCATTTTTTTTTTTTCAATTAAAAATATCTTAAGTTAGCGATGTTATATTTAAAGAAATAACTGTGAAATAACGGACCCAAAGAAGGTTTTATTCTTTAAATTTTGGAATTAACATATTTAAACTTTTAGAAATAACATAATACGCAAACGCTGAGGAGTATCTTTCACATCTAAATTTTGAAAATCAATAAATTTGCTTTTTTCGGCACAAACATTTTAAAAGACGGTAGGGATCAAGTGGTTGCACATTCATTTCTTACCTCAGTCTCACTGAATCAATCTTTTTTCACACAAAATCACAACCTATTACTATTACTATAGGAACCATCGAATATCTTTCCTAGCGTTGAAAGGGGGTACTGAGTGATAGAGGAGTTAAAATGGTATTTCAGAGGCCCAGATAAGCTGCGTATTTGGGTAAAATACGCATAGCAAATTTCCAATTACGCATTGAAAAATAATTGTTGAGTACCAATTACGCATTTAAAATGTTAGATACGCAAAGCGTTTAAACGTATGCGTACGGAATATATTTATCGCTTGCGTAATGAAAAAGACATTGATTGCTATCAAGTTGTACTGTAAGTATAGGACTAGTGTTGTACTGTCAGTACAGGATGAGTGATTTTTTTATGAAATCATTTCCATTATATTTAAGTTGGTTCTGATTAGGTATGACATAAGGCAGAACATACTGTTAGTAAACTTACTCAATACTTAGGTGAGTAAAATCACTGAAATACCCACATATTTGAAAGCAGTGGGTAACGGAAAATGAAATACCCATTCAACATTTATAATACCCACTCCAAAAATAATACAGTGGGTACAGTACCCACATGGGCTAAATCTTATCTGGAGCTCTGAGTATTTTGAGGTCTGTTATATATACACGGTGGTGTATTTAATAAGCGTACAGTTGAGTCTTCAACGCAAAGTTTATAGTGTAGGTTTCGGCGACTTTCAGCCAAGAAACATTTTGACAGCCTTTGCAAGTTGTGGTCAAATCCAACGTTAATGGCAATCATTTTTTATCCGGCAATTTGATAAGTTTAACTGGGCAAAGTGAAGCGTTCTATATAGCATTTAATCGATGCACAAATAAGTCTCAAGCATCGGTACCTATGCACCGCGAAGCAACAACGCCCTCAGCACAAGACATAAATATTCTTTCAAAATCGGTATTGGGGTATTCCGAGTGGTACTTGAGTCGCCTGTCCACCCAGTTATGACCACTTGGACGGACTTATTTTCGTGCACAGTTATCTGACATATGTGACGTCAGGTTGGTGGGCGTTGTGAGGGCATATTGTTGATCATTGTCAAACAGAAACAGAACTCCGGACTGTATCGTTTCCGAACAATCACATTTTCGTATTTAGGAATAAAAGTTTAGAGTAATGTCTTTATATCGAAGTGGGCGATTGGGTATAGCCTAGTGGTGAAAGCGTTCGCTCGTCACGCCGAAGACCCGGGTTCGATTCCCAACATAGGTACAATGTGTGCAGCCCATTTCTGGCGTCCCCCGCCATGATATTGCTGGAATATTGCTAAAAGCGGCTTAAATCGAAACTCGCTCACCTTTTATCGAAGTACAGTTTTGCGTTAAGCGAATCAACCAAGGGGGTTCCGAACAAAAGAAGTACTGGAGGGAATCTGTTCATCACTGTCACAGAGAAAACATATATCCCAAACCATTATTAGTCATAGTGTATTAAAATTTAACGAACTGTTTAACTGTAAACAAATAAGTGTTTGATAAAAACTGTGTATAATCTGTAGTACCATCATGAGAACTGTACAATCTTCCATGTAACAGACCGCCTCCGTGGTGCAGTGGTTAGAGTGTCCGCCCGGAGAGCGGAAGGTCGCGGGTTCGATCCCCGACCGCGTCATACCAAAAGACGTTAAAATATGGTACTTGTTGGCCCCTGCCTGGCGTTCGGCATTAATGGGTACAACAAGAACTGGTCGGTTCGGAGACAGTATAATGTGTCTGAGTGGGGTATTCGTGCTACACTGCGGCATGGTATCTCAGTGAGTTAGCACTATAAAACCAGCTTCAGTCTGGGCTAGTACGAGCAGCCGCACATACACATACACACGCAGGCACGTCGTCATATGAGAGAAATATTCTCAAGCACAACGTTAAACCCAATTTCACCTCACTCCATGTAACACTTAACTGCATATTTGTACCTCTTATGCCGAGTATAATAAAAATTCTGTTCTGTTGATCCGGCCATTTCTCGTATCCCCTGCTGGAATATTGCTAAAAGCGGCGAAAAACTAAACTCACTCACTCTGTTGATCCGGACAGCACCGTTTCCGGACAATCAAGTTTTCGTATTTACGAATCAAGGTTTAGAGTCATTTCTTTGTTATCGAAGCATAGATTTGCGTTTTGAATCAAATCGGCCCAGGGTGTTCCGGGTAAGAGAGGTGATACTGTACAAGCGAGGGTGGGTGAGTGAGTTTAGTTTTACGCCGCTTTTAGCAATATTTTCGCAATATCACGGCGGGGCACCCCGGAAAAAGGCTTCACACATTGTGCCCATGTGGGGAATCGAGCCCGGGTCTTCGGCGTGACGAGCGACGCTTTAACCACTAGGCTACCCAACCACCTTTTACATGGAAGTTTGTACAATTTTCATGATGGTATTACAGAATATATATCATATACATGTAATATTATTTGCTTACAGTTAAACAATTAGTTAAATTTTAACACTTTTGTTTTTTCTAACATAATGGTTTGGGATGTATGTTTCCCGATGATGTTGAAGAGATGGCAGAGAAAAATGAAATGAAATTCATCGCCAACATCACACGTGACGCAGAGGTTACGCATTCTTTCTTCATGTGGAATTGTGTGCCACCGACCTACTTCCATCGCATGGACAGCGTGTCGGCTTTGGACAATCTATATATCTTCAGATCTCAGACGTTTACCTTTTGGTTGAACCAATGAGCAAACGTTTGCTGCTGACAAACCTATAAACAGAATCAGGGCGAATTTAGATTCAAACCTACGACCACAGGGGCGTGTCACGCGTAGACACAGCGTTAGAAAGACATATAGGTATATAGACCCTGCCCTAGAACTATATAAAAGGCTTTTATATAGTACTAGGGTAGGGTCTATATACCTATATGTCTTTCTAACGCTGTTTCTATGCGTGACACGCCCCTGAGCCTACGACCGGGGCCTTCTGGCGTGCCCAAGGAAGACGACTCTGCACAGCGAACCACGATGCTTCTGACGACCTTGGTTGCCGTTGTACAAAGCAGCCTGAGCGCTACGACAGTCGAAAAATTTCTGTTTAGGTATGGGTGAGTGAGTTTAGTTTTACGCCGCACTTAGCAATATTCCAGCTATATGACTGCGGTCTGTAAATAATGGAGTCTGGACCAGACAATCTAGTGATCAACAGCATGAGCATCGATCTGTGCAATTGGGAACCGATGACATGTGTTAACCAAGTCAGCGAGCCTGACCACCCGATCCCGTTAGTTGCCTCTTGCGACAAGCATGGGTTACTGAAGATCAATATTCTAACCCGGACCTTCACGGGTCATTTAGGTATTGGAATTACGATCAACTTCGCGCTGTACAACGGCACCCGGATCACATGTGCTCCTTCAAATAAATAGCAGCGTTAGGACTGTGTCAAACAATAGGGACTCTTTCTTCCAATAGTCCAATAATCCATTGGGATCCACGAGAAGATAATAGGCTCCCAGTTTCCAATGTTTGTCTGAAGAAGATAGAGTGATCAAGGGTTTTGCCGAAAGAGCCGACTCAGCTATACACCATGCGGGCTTATAGGGCTCAACGGGCAGAATGGGATGGAACGTTGAACATGACTCAATTGTGCGTGATAAGGAAGGAACTATGCATAGTGCGGCTTAAAACAATATTTACTCACTGAATATTTATACATGCTTTCTGGGAACATTTAAAAAAAGAACTAACGATGTATTTCATAAACTGTTAAATACAATATCTTAATACATTTCAGCTAGCAAAATATACATTTCGTCAGAAATTAATACCTAAAGTTTAGTTTTAAAACTTCAGTATAAACTTAGGGCAGATTTTACGAACGTTTTAAACAATCTGTGTTGTCAGAGCAAGTTTCTACATCTGTAACGTTCACACACAGAAAACCCAACCCCACACGTTTGCAGTGAACTTGTCCGTGCACGAAATTCACGTGCATGTTGTTTCCTCCGAGGTCCGCGCCATCTGGTTTAAAATCTCATCGCCATTTGCAGTGTGTTTTCCACGGTAGCTGGTGTTGGAACGTGTTCTTGCAACTAAAGACATGGCTGACACGGCAGGACCGTCAAAGAATGGCGTTAGGAAAGCGCCCGCCACACACCCGTCGTGGTATGAGATGGTCATTGAAGCAGTTAGCAGCAACAAGGACTCAAAAGGTGCTTCCGTTCAGGCGATTAAGACTTACATCGTTGCAACGTATCCAACCGTTGACCAGAATTCGATGCGACACCACATTAAACGTGCGCTGGAGAAGGGAATCAGACTTAAAATATTAAAGCGACCGAAGGCTTCTGAAGATGCCACAGGGTTGACAGGCAGGTTTAAATTAGACAAGGTCACAGTTGCGGCGGAAGCCAAAGCGAAAGCTAAGAAACTGAAGAAAGCGGAGGAAAAGAAGGAAAACTCTGTGAAAAGGAAGAAAACATCGCCAGTGAAGCGCAAAACAAAAACTGAAAAGTCAGAGAAAACTGAGAAATCAAAGAAAGCTGGTGCAAAAGCGAAGACAAGTGCCAAGTCGCCGAAGAAGGTCAAGAAAAGTGTAGAAACGACACCGAAGATCTCCAGGACGAAAAAGGCTGAAATGAAGACTCCGAAGAAACTGAAATCGGCCACCGCTAAGTCCAAGGTAACAGCTTCTGAGAAAACAAAGGTGAGTTGTGACCTGCGTGATGCTTTTACAATATACTTCTATATCTCACTACGTTATGAATGGTCAGCTCCTCAAATCTTTTAGAATATCGTGAAGTACCATTATTTTATAATTCATGATTACATGGTCCAAACGACAGGTTGGGGAAACCTACCAATCTGCCTGTAAAAGGCCGAACGAGAGATTATAGGCCGTTCTGCCTATTTTGCTATAGGCCGATGGGGCTATATTTGACTATTATTATTATTTCACAAACTATCAATTTCCGCACGAAATGGTTTTATATGATCATAGAAATGAATAGTTATTGAACCTCCTCAGCTTGAAAACAATTTTTTTGGGGACAAAATGGAAATTTATATCATGTTCAGGAAAAGATGTATAATTTAAGAACAAAATTTTGCACAGATTTTCATTTTGAAAACTAAAACTGAATATCTGTCATTAATTTTCAGTGAAAATTGTCAAAAATGTTATGGACTTATATTTAATTAGCAATTTCCAAACTCCTATGTTATGTGATGAAAATGCTCAAAAAGGGTTTGAATGAAAACCTTAGGACATCAAAACTTGAATGATGTTAATATCCTCATGCGGAAATGCACCACTTCAAATTTATTTGATAAATATCATAATTATAGGCCTATCGGCCTATAGCAAAATAGGCAGAACCGCCTATTATATCCTATTTGGACTATTATAGGCCGATCGGTAGGTTTCCCCAACCTGAACGAGGTAAGAAAGAATTTAAAAAACGATGACCAATTAGATATTTTGTTTTACTAAAACAAAAAATTGTTTATCGCTTGCAACATAATAAGTTTTTACTGTTCTCCCCTCATTATGATAGTAATCCTTCATTTGTACGGTTTTCTAATCACTACTACCACCAACACCACGCTGTATATATTTATTATGAAATGTATCTCTGCCAGCGACCTTTGTACTGAACAAGCATCGAGGTCAGGCTCTCTAACATTCCTTGCTGGGATTGATGCTCATGTCATCATTGGATTGTCAGACACGACTACCATTGGGAAAGAGGTCCTTCCGTTCCCCCAACTCTAAACCTAACTTAAATTTTGGACTTTTAGTCATTTTTGAGTTCTCTAGTAATTGTTGTGTTAAGTTTTGTAAATAATTTTAGTATATTTATAAATATTATTTGGGATGGGGGAACGGGAGGAACTTTTACCACCATGGTATTGCTAGAACCTGCTGAGTGTTTAAACAGCAAATAGTAATTCGAAATAAGACTGGTCTGGGTTTCTGGGTCCCGATCCACAAAACGTTAGGGGCGGTGGGGTAGCCTAGTGGTTAAAGCGTTCGCTCGTCACGTCGAAGACCCGGGTTCGAGTCCCCACATGGGTACAATGTGTGAAGCCAAATTCTGGTGTCCCCCGCCGTGATATTGCTGGAATATTGCTAAAAGCAGCGTAAAACTGAACCCACTCACGTAAGCCAATGATAAACTATAGAGTAACGACATGTCGTAACGTTACGAACGCTTTGTGGATCGGAACCCTGAACACTACTTATGTAATCTTGAAATAGACACATTGTAGGTGTCCTGAAAATGTCAATGTAGTAACCAAGGCCCCGATTTTCGAAGCTCTCTTAGCGCTAAGATAGCGATAGCCATGACAGTCGTAAGTTAATGTTAATGTATGGCACCATACATTAACATTAACTTACGACTGTCTTGGTGCTAAGAGAGCTTCGAAAATCTAGGCCCAGGCTGTGTGACCCGTGAAGGTCCGGGTTAGAATCTTGGCCTTAGTAACCCCTGCCTGTCGTAAGAGGCGGCTAACGGGATCGGGTGGTCAGGCTCGCTGGCTTGGTTGACATGTCATCGGTTCCCAATTGCGTAAATTGATGCTCATGATGTTGTTCACTGGATTGTTTGGTCCAGACTCGATTATTTACAGATCGCCGCCATATAGCTGGAATATTGCTGAATGCGACGTAAATCTAACTCACTCACTCACTCCCCAGGCTGTGTAAACTGCTTATACACATACCTTAGTACTTCCGACCGTAACCCCCATATTTTTTAAAATCGTTCAATGCCTAAGAATATAGCCTATGGTTTTTTTCATCAAAAGCCTAAACCTAGCCCCTTAAACCTAACCCTAAACCCTCGATATAATCCTAATAAACAGAATACATTTCAAGCGGGGGTTAAGGGCGGAACTCTTACCCTTGTAGGTTATGATGTAATGCATTTAAATATATAGATTTTGCTTGTCTACAGACATGAACGACGTGCATTCCTAACCCTTCCTGAAACTTGCCTGGGTCAGGGAACCCCACCCCACATAGCAGGCATATTTATACTTGCCAATGGTTGATTTCTTTTTAAAATCCCAAGGAGTGTTAAAAATGTAACGGTTAATTTCAATGTAATATATGAAGCCGGTATTTCTCAACGGCCCCCAACCCGGAAACGTCCTCTTATTTGATTTCTAGTGCTTACATTTGCAACAGTACATTATACCGGGCATGGCGAATTCCCGACAAGTTGCTCAAGAGGACTTGATCCACGTTTTTTTGTTTTGTTTCTTGCTTTTGAAGACACAGGATCTATAATGTATGTCTCATGGAAGTTTAAACAAACACGTGTGTAAATGATCGTCAATTATTTGCTATCAAATACCCTTCCATATACAAGTACAAAATAAAATGCCATCTTTGAAAATTCGCACCCACTTCAGTCGATCGTGTCGTAAATTTCAATTGTAGAACTGGCTTAGTACATGTAACGGATAGTTCTTTTCGCCTTTTCGTTATCCTATTATCGCCTGTTATTGGTAACTTGATTTTATAACCTACATACTTTGAGTTTCTGGCGTATCTGGACAAAAGACGCTTTAGAAGAGTGTTGATAAATCTGATGGGCTGGACGAGTTTAATATTGTCAAGCGACTGATTCCTTTGTTGTACTAGCGTATTTCCCAGGTCGGCACTGATCACCATCGCGACGCCTGTGGTGTAAAATAACCTGTTTTGTACCTGGATGTGAAACTCTGAACTTTACATATTGCAAACTGGTATTATAAACGAAAAGTTCCTGGGGATAAAGATTCTTGTCCTCGAATTAGTTTACAAATCCTTGATACCTAAACCCAGTTTAAAATCACTGGCATGGGGGAAAATAGTATACATTAAATAGTGAGGTGAGGTGAAATTGGGTTGAACGTCGTGCTTGAGAATATTTCGCTCATGACGACGTGCATGCGTGTGTATGTGTATGTGCGGCTGCTTGTACTAGCCCAGACTGAAGCTGGTTTTATAGTGCTAACCCACTGAGATACCATGCCGCAGTGTAGCATGAATACCCCACTCAGACACATTATACTGACTCCGAGCCAACCAGTCCTTGTTGTACCCATTAATGCCGAGCGCCAGGCAGGGACCAACAAGTACCATATTTTAATGTCTTTTGGTATGACGCGGTCGAAGATCGAACCCGCGACCTTCCGCTCCGGGCGGATGCTCTAACCACTACACCACGGAGGCGGTCAAAACAGTAGTATAGATATTATAGTACTGTATCGTTATGTGAACAGAATTTAACACCGTGCTGTGGCATATTTTCATTTGAAGTAGCGCCACGGGTGGTTTATATCTCGTTGCATGTCGCCGTATTTCCACCACTGTTTCAGGAACCTATAATCAGGGTTCGAATTCAAGGTTCGCCCCGCTTGTTTCTAGTTTTGTCAGCAAGCCAAGCACAGACCTGCACATTTAAGATACGATGACACATCAAAGTCGGCGAGTCTGACCACCAGATCCCGTTAGGGACCGTTCATAATATATATATATGGCTTAGGGGGTGGGATGGGGAAGGGGGTGATGATGGTTTTTATGGAGAAGCATGTACAATGTGAATGAACCTCCCAAGATATATTTACCTGTCCCCCCCCCCCGCATGTCATGCAAATCAGACACCCCCCACCCATAATTTTTAAGCATAATGTTTTGTATATTTCCATGTACAAAATAGCTGAACCCCCACCCACCCCCGAAAGTTTGTACAAAATTGATTACATCCATTACCTTCCAATAACAAAATTCTCTCTCTCTCTCTCTCTCTGTCTGTCTGTCTGTCTGTCTGTCTGTCTGTCTGTCTGTCTGTCTGTCTGTCTGAGAAATAAAATCATCACACACCCCTAGCCATAAATTATGGACGGCCCCTTAGTCGCGGCGTTGGGGTAGCCTAATGGTTAAGGCATCGTCTGGCCGAATGCCCGGGTTCGATTTCATCACATCGCACAATGAGTAAAGCCCATATGTCATGATTTCTGGTGTCCCCCGACGTGTTAATGCTGGAATATTGTTAAAAGCGGCGTAAAACCCACTCGTCCTTTTGGTGCATCCTGCCACAAGCATAAATTGCTGCACTCTGTTCCCACAGAGGTTTTTCCTGTCATATCTTTCTACGTAGGAAGATATGGCAAGAGTAACCTCTGTGGGAAGAGAATGAGGTTGCTGAAGATCATGCTAATCCAAATCTTCACGGGCACAACTGTGTTCATGAAGCCCATTTCTCGTGCCCCCACCGTGTTATTGCTGTGGATGTTGCTAAAAGCGGCGTAAAACCAAACTCACGAGTTTGTTCTTGTTTCAGGCAAAACCCGCCAGTAAGAAAGGCACACCCAAGAAGAGCAAGGCCAAGACAAAATCCTAGAGCCAGACAGTTTTATATGTGAACTTTTTAAATTGCAGGATGTAATTGTTTTAAAATAAAAGTTTTAAAATCAGTTTACAATTTGTTTTACAATCCAGTTATATCAGTCTGCGAATGTCACACTCGTCAGCAACATATATACCACCCAAATGTTAAACAACACCCAATTCTTTCATACAACTATAGTCTGTTTGCAGTGAAAACGTACAGATGAATTCCACTTTAAACAAAAAACGTAAATCGAATAAAGTGAAAATAAGACTACGAATCCTCATAATTTTACCTTACCAATTGAACAGTTAAATCTCAGAATCTTATTCAACTTAGGATAAAAAGTGTTTAACAAACGATCATGGTTTCAAACCGCTATTATTGGTTTGTATTACAAGGGGGTATGCACATTAGATGAAACACCTAGAACAGGTATGGTTGGTCTAAGTTAACGCTCATCACGTACCGCACGTGCATTTGTTTCACTGTTCCAACTACTACGCTTACCCCCTTGTAATACAAACCAATAACAGCGATTTGAATCTATGATCGTTTGTTAAAGAACTTTTATCCTAAGTTGAATATAATTCTGAGATTTAAATTGTCATGAAATAACATGCCAACTATATAGTCTGTTTGCAGTGAAAACGTATCGATGAAGTTCACCTTAAGCAAAAAAGTGAATCAAATAACGTCAAATTAAGAATGCGAATCCTTATAAGTTTACCTTGCCAATTAAACATTTAAATCTCAGGATTATATTCAACTTAGGTTAAAAGTTGTTTTACAAACGATCATAGATTGGAATCGCTATTATTGGGTTGGTGGAGAAATATATCTTCGATGTAACCACACACACACACACAACCACACAACCAACCACACAACATACAGTGAATGCTTTAAGTGAGTCTAAACTTTTGATGCGTAATACATATTGTGGACGATATTCACTCACTTTCCAATGACAACGTTCCTTTCGATTGAATTGTCAAGGTCCGGGTTAGAATATGTCTTCAGTCACCCATGCTTGTATAAGCGACGACTAACGGATCAGGTGGTCAGGTTCACTGATTGGTTGACACGTCTTCATATCCTAATTGCGTAGATCGATGTTCATGATGTTATATAGCTGGTATGTTGCTGAGTGCGGCGTAGAACTATTATAACTCACTCAGTGAATTATGTCAACCTGACCTGTTCAGCTGCAGGAATTATGTCAAATGTTGCCTACCATAGCCCCAATCTTCAGCTCTGAAAGATTTTACAAGTCCCCCAGCCCATGGACTTCGGTTGAAAATCTTTCGGTTGAAAATCTTTCCAAACCTTTCCAAATGTTTAAAACAGCTGTATATACTAAAGTGAACAGTAACGTTTGTCACAGTGACAGAGGGGAAGTGACTAACCTCTTAACATTAAAGTACTGTCGGAAATAGAAGAAAACTGGGTTTTTTTTTCATATTTATCTCTACAATTTATGTAGTGGATATGTGAAAGTGAAATATCTGATAAACTAAGTTCGGCCTAACTGCAGTCTCGGTGGTAGGGAGATAGGAAACGTAATAAAAGGACTTTAGTGAGGAGAGATTAGTGCAGAAATGAGCAATGAGGTTTTTTTAGTAAGTCCAAAGCGACTTATTTGGAACAGACCATGGCTCTATGCAAATTAGTGTGCAATGATATTGTATTACAAAGGACACTTTTTAAATGCCCATCTTGAAATTAGACTTAGCTTCATTATAAACGATAGCTGACGTACAAAATAATAACTTTCATGCTGAAACTATTAAGGATGTAGCTACCATGGAGTCTCACTGTCACTGTAAAAAGGAACAGATAGGAGGTGTCATCTCAAAAGTAAAACCTGGGCGGGTGTCGCATACGATGGTTGGGGTCGGGCTGGCGGATAGAGATATCAGCTAAGATAAGATAATCCTTTAGGAGGCTTATACTGGGGAGGTACACGGCATGTTATAACAATTTACAAATAATATCTGGTCCTGTCGATCTTCGGGTCTTCATGCCACCCATATATTTTGAGATATTTCATACGATGCTTTTCTATGGTTATGAAGTATCATACTCTTTTACATACATTTCTCAACATAAGCTTTATAAAAGAAAGACACGTAAGATGTTACTCAATAGCTGAGACATATTAAATGCACATGAAAAAGTACAAAATATCTTTGATGACCCCTTGTGCCTGTAGGCAGCACATGTATTTCATGCCAGGTGAGTCGACGGTCCGCCATATGGCTGGAATATTAATGAGTCGGCGTAAAACTAACATCACTCACTGTTCCCCATAGACACAATACGTGAAGACTTATCGGAGTCACAGATACTGTTTGAACACTGTTTAAATGTCACATTCTACGCCATATGGATACACTACATGGCTAATTCGTGAAGTGTGATACCACTCATGTCTAATATATAAATGTAGATCTTCTTGCTATGTTTCCCCCTGGTCATTATTGTCCCATGATACCAGATCGAGTGGTCAGACGCTGTGCCTTGCTTGTGTGTTATTACTCATAGCATCTGACTCAACATCAGCCGTCATATATCTAGAATATTGCTGAGAGCGGCGTAAACCTCAAATCACTCACTCACTCACTCACTCACTCACTCACTCATAGCATCTAACTCAACATCAGCCGTCATATATCTAGAATATTGCTGAGAGCAACGAAGTCACAACCATATCTACCAAACACAGTTGTAAACAAATAACAAAGACATTGCTTTTGAACTTTAACAAATTTTGTATTGATTATAAAACTAAATACTAAATGACATTAACATTTGTTTCTTCTAAACAGTTTGGTAAATCGACGAAGGAAAGATCGTGACTTTTTTACATTTTGTTTCTGATTACAATTTTCGATCAAACTAGTTGTGCTGGATGACATGTGTTTCCCAGAAGACAGATCATTTTGAGAGAGTTCCTGATGTCTTGTTGACTTATTGTCTTGTTTATGAGACACAATGTGGTCAAAGCACGAGGTCTGTGTAGCCCCTGACCTCTGAACAAGTCCAACACCCTCTCCATCTCCTGAATGTACACACAGTCTTTCAGCTCTCAACATGTCCACCTCCTTCAACAAGCGGTCCACCTGCTCCCTGAGGGACACTTTCTCATCTGAGAGTTGTCTGGCTTGTCTTTGAAGATGTTGATTCTCCACTTTCAGACATTTGGAACGGAATCGAGCATCTCGTAGGTCAGCCCGGATAATGTCCACCTTGGTCAGGGCAGCCGTCAGATGCAATTGGAGGTCAAGCTCATTGACTTGTTGTTTGATCTCTTCACTACAGTCCCAATGGAATGGAGGCTGGAGACGAACAGGTCTTGGTTTTATCGCCACGTGTTTGGGAACCATGTCGTGGAACTCTGAAAAAGTCGAATCCAGTATATACTCGATTCAATGGCACGTCTTAACATCAGTACATATACATCTACTGTGTTAAATGAATGAACTAGTGGACTGTTAACAATAAATAATTAATTGTTTACTTGAAGTTGCAAGAATGTAAGAGCTGAACGTATTTAACAACACGCGCACACACGCACACACACACACACACCTGTCGGTTCTGTACGTGCGAAACACTCCGCCACCTCGGAATCAAACCCCTCACACTCGGACATGGTCAGACGCCTGGTGACTGGTTTTGGTTTTATTAAGACGTGTTTGGGAACCGCATCATGAAACCCTGAAATACCAATATCTGGATTTAGAATAGTGACACAATTCAATCGAAAAGTGTTAATAATATATCACATTTACATCTGCGTGAACAGCGTGGTAACAAAAGTAGTTTAAAAAAAGAGAGGTTGTGGAGATGAAAACTATTATCACAAATAACGTCACACTCACCTGTCGGTTCTGTACGTGCAAAGCACTCCGCCACCTCGGGATCAAACCCCTCACACTCGGACATGGTCAGGCGTCTGGTGACTGGCATAATCTTGAGATAATCTCGATAAATGAAGAGCGTACTGCAGTGCTGCTGTAGCTGGCTGAGATAATGTCAGACAATGGCGTGACGTCACAATATGAACTAATGATGTCATAGCGACCGTCGAATCGGTAGATTTCGCTGTCATCCGTTCGACGGAAATACATGTACCTTCGGAAGAAGTCGGCCTTTTTCGTCTCGAGTGTGTTCTGATTGCTACACATCAGCCGAAACATACCAAGATCATTTGATGTTCATTTTTCTTTGGTCTAATGTTGATGTTTTTTATGTATTTTGTTATGTAATTCGTTTCCGGAAGGGGCTAGATGAATTGTGAGCCATGTGATACTGTCATCACTTGTGTGACATTTCAGAATTGCAAACACAATATGCTGCACAGGAAAGGAACAAGGAAATCAATTTTTCCGACATATGAGCACAAAGAAATAAGTAAGGATTCATTTCAACGGGTGGAGTGAGTGAGTGAGATGGGTTTTCGATGACCAGTGACGACATTGTGATGACGTCGCGGTTTCTACATTGTATAAAAATCGTTACAACATTCCTATTTCTGCACACAGTGTAACCAAATTGTGTTTCATTGAACCAAGTTGATTCCATTTCATATTTCAGCAAATTAAAAACGTATAAGAAGGGTCAGTATATGTTATACGCCTCATTCTGTCTCTTATCTCAGTTTGGAAGGAGAATCATCAGGTTTTCATTTTACATTGTTTTTCTTCATAATTTACGATTAGCGTTGGCCGCCCATAATTGTAATGCAGTTCAAAGCGGCATACGATAGTACCTATCTGTTGGTAAAGATATTTTAGACTGTTGAAACTATCAGTTCACAAAAATATACACAATAATTATATGCAGAAAACGAATGCTATTTACACAATAAAACTGACATGATATAATTCAATTAACCACATAGGTAAAGAGGCTGAATAATTCTAGTTGTAATCACGTGATGGTGATTCAAAATATTTGTTGCATTCACGAATACTTGATGGTATGAAAGACTGTCGAACTCTGTTTTGAGGGAAGGTAATCGACAGCAGCGTCCAGAAGGAAGTAGTTCAAAATGGTGAGATCAAATATGTCAACTAC